TAGGATAAATGAAAAGACATTTGTCAAATAAAGAACAAGATTACAGTGAATAAGAGGGAGGATGACTAAAGGATGGACTTGGTAATTTAACAAAACATGGAAAGAGCCAAATGAAATCAGACAGATAGCTCATATCATATACAGGTAGTCTCCGACTTATGATGTATTTGAGTTATGATGAACTGCACTGAGGACTGTCTTTTGTTTTTTTTTTGGTACATTTTATTGTTAGTAATATGTACTACATACAACCTTGCAGCACATAATTTGCTAATATTATCATTCTCATGCCAACCCCCAAAGACAAATAAAGATCAGATTTTTAAAGATACTGATAATAAAAGGCAATAATAATGAAAAGTTAAAAAAAAAATGAGGTACTCGATTTACGTCAGAACCAATTTACGGCAGAGTCATTGGAATGGAACTCCGTCATAAGTTGGGGACTACCTATAGTATTTAGCATCTGTCTATAACATTATCAATAGTCTCTCCTGGGTGAAACTGATTTTTGTGAATTTCATCCTTACAATGATACCAGTATTTGTCACCACTACCCATAGATAATAGTGCATTTGTCATCGGTTTCCTTTTTGGGGTCTCTTTGAGTGGTTTTGACAAGGGTGACTCTTCAAATGAATTACTGTGTAATGAGATGTGCTTAAAAATATCTATACAATGTTCTCATATAGTATCTGAAATGTACAAATTTACTAAAGCTCAAAGCTTATGCACCAAAAGTACTATATAAGCTAGAATAATGTCCCTCTTCCTACCGAGAATGATCAACATTTTCATGTATTGGGTGTGAGCCAAACATAAAGTAGTGCTTGGTATAGACAGAATACAAAGCTGTGAGGCAGAAAATTTGTGTTGTCCCCAATTCCCAGTATGTGTGAGTTCAGATAGGTCACTTAACTCTTCATACCTTCATTTACACCTGTTGTAAGAAGAGGGATCATGCCCTCTATGTGTTTCCAAAGGCAGGAAGAATAAATGAGACACAAAGAGTGTTGTAGGTTCATCTTAATACACATATCAGTCTAGAGTACAGTTCAACCTGACTCTGTAACCCATCTTTTAGAGTGAAAATGCATATAAGCCAATCCAATTGTGTGCCTTTTCATACCAAGAACCTTGCATCCTCTCATCTCCTAGAACTCAGGCAAGAGAGGAAGCTCTTCTGGTATGTGCGGACAAAGGGGCATCTTCTTCCTTAGTAAGCATCACCAGTAAGCTGGCCCTGAAGAGTTCTACTCACCTGCTACCCTTCTACCCTCATCCACATCCTACTTGGAATTAATCACAGGCCCAGTTTTGAGTTGCTGTGAGGCTAGTAGATAGAATACAGTGTGGCTGGGACTGGAGGTGCTCATGTCTGGCTCTCCTCCCAAGCATTTAGCTACAGCTCTTGAGTAAGGGCTTCCTATCAGGCTCTGAAAACTTCCCAGAAAATTGCCCAGCCATCCACTTTCACTGACAAGCATAGCACCAGCACATGGTCAGTTTAAATGGTACTGGAAAGGCATATGGAGAGACTTTTTTTTTCTTCTTCCTTAAAGAGGCTTTAGAACTCCAAAGGGATAGTTGGTTTGACGTTCATTATATTATCCAAACACAGAACATGTTTGACCACCTACAATCTTCCAGGCTCTATGCCTGGAACTCTGAAGAATAAACAGCAATAACACATAGCCCCAGCTTCCAACGATGGAGATTAGGCAGATATGGAGAAACCTCTAAGAAAGTAATTACTCATTACAGATATAAATGATGGTAATGATAACTGTTTTGGAAAGTTTAAGAAAGGATGCATGTGCTAGAATAGTTAGAGAGAAGGTGGGGTTGAATCTGAATCCTGAAGGCTGAATTTAAGTGGAGAGCAATTAAGAAGCAATGGTGTGAACAAAAGCTTTTTCTGAGAGTGTTCAGGGAAAGGTAGGGAATAAGAAGGCAGTAAAAGTGGTAATAAGATTGGCAAGGTTAGTTAGGAAAATTGTTTGTTAGTCATACACTTAACAACATTCATTGAATATATACTACATGTTAGGCAATGTACTAGGAGCTGGATATAAAGTGATAAACAAAACAGACCAAGTTTCCACCCTCTTGGAGCTTACCTTCTAGCCAGAGAAGTAGCAAACAAATAGGTAAATTAACACATAAATAAGTAATTCTAAAATGCATGCTTCTATGAAGGAAATGTTCTGCCATGGGTGATGTGGGAACCTAGACAGGTGCCCTGGAATGACCACACTAAGGAAGAGACACTTAAGCTAAAAGCTGATGGATGAAAAGGATTGAGTCAGGAAAAGTGTTGAGGAAGAGCTCATTCCAGGCAAAGACTACAGGATACAGGAAGGACTAAGAAGGGAGGAGTTTGGCATGTTTAATATACCAAAAAAAAGCCTGGGAAGCATAGGATCTGGGAGATCACTTTAACTCGTTTCTTGTCGTGGGGCATGCAGAATTCATGACATCTTAATACTGAAGTACTCATACAATCAGCGCTAATAGTAAACATTTGCTAATGATGACTCTTACAAACTACCAAATAAATCCTTATTGAAGGAGTAGAATACAAGTAGAGGAGAGTCAAGGCAATGAATATTATCTAAATCATCCAGCATTTACAAGAGACAGTATTAATATATAATATATATAATCAATATATAATTTATAAGAGAAACATATTAATATACATTTACTTTCAATAAGTTAGATGCTTTGAGCTATTAACAAGAATTGGCAAATATGGAAATTTTGTACAGTATGACTTTATCCACTTACATAAACCAGAATTTTTGAGTTATCAACAAGAATTGATAAAACTGTATGGTCTGAATATTAGTGTAAATTATAGTCTCTTGATAGTATGGTTAAGACATTGATAAAGTAAGAAATAAATTTTAAGTTCAAATTATAACGTACATTTTCTGTATAGTAAGGATACTAGTACTGATGTTACATGAATTCTTAAGATAACAGAAGATGACCATGACATAGATCAAGTCTCTCATAATGGTGTTTGTGTGATATGTGAAAATAGGAGTGGTATCATAGAGCACAGCCAAGTCCAGGCCAGACACAGCATATTGAGTCACCTGCCAACATCTTGAGCAGTGAACCCTAGTTAGTGATTCAAAAGGAGCATTTCAAAAAGTGTGTGTGTGTGTCTGTGTCTGTGTGTGTGACTTATTTGATCCATGTGAGCCTGCCAAGTATGTATATAGAACCAAGTTTCAGGAAATTACTAAAACATACTTGAAACACCCATCTCAAAAACCAGAAGGAGTAATTTAGGGACTTCATGCAGAGTTTACTTCCAAAAAAAATTTTCTAAGTCTAAAAGTGAAAATAATTCCATTATTAGTATTTTAGAAGAGTAAATCCAGAGTAGTATAATGCATTGTTATTTTTGTTAGCTGCCGTTGAGTTGCCATGCCAACTCATGACAACCCAATGTGTTACAGAGTAGAACTGCTCCATAGGGATTTCTTAGCTGTAATCTTTACAGAAGTAGTTGGCAGGCCTTTCTTCATGGAGCTGCTGGGTGCATTCGAACCGCCAGCTTTTCGATTAGCAGCCAATGGCAAACCACTTGAGCCACCCTGGCTTCTATGCATTAATTAACACCCTACAAATCAGTGTGTACATATATACTGCAAACAGTAAAGAGGAATTTTTAAAACTTCCAGTGGATTCTTATCCTTTCATGTTATAATTTGTGATGCTAACACTTGCAGGTTGAGAAATTATATGATAACAGTTGAATATTATAGTCTACCTTTTAAGCAAGATCTCAAAAACTTTCATAAATTGAACCTCTTGCTGCCCCTGGGAAATCATAAAATGCAGTACAATTCCTGTAGCATCTCTTACCATGTTCTGTGCTGGCCAGACATTTAGTTCTATTTAAAATCCACTTATGTATAAAAATAATTTCGATTTTCTGAATATGTCCAGAATGCAAGCACTCTGGTACCATGATTGTAGAGTATTACTATTCTGCTAGTTTGGACATTATTCAGAAATCATATTGACATGGTTTGCAATTCTCTAACTTATTATCTGTAGTTAGAATATCTATATCTTTTTGGTAAAAGGGAATAAGTCACTTATTAGCATATATACGCACATTAACAGATGAAGTCAAAACCTATTTCAATGTGCTTTAAACCTTGTATTATCTTTTTAAGAAACTTTTTAAATTGCACATATCATTCTTATTTGACTAAATATGGTATATCTTAGCTATACACACATTAAATTTATTCCATTGTGTTAAAAGGCATTTTCAATGTAAATTAAAGGTGAAACTGTATGAGGATACTTTTAGGGGGTGGGATCTGTGTTTGGGCTCTCTTTTGTTGACAATGGTATGTGGTTCTGTGATTAATTGTCATCTTTTCTGGTAATATCATATGGGAAAAGTTAGCATTTATTATCTCTTAATGTTCCATTGGCATCTTTAAAGTGTTATAAAACAAGCATTTACTACTTAGTAGCTAAGCATTTACTCTTCTTTCCTTAATTAACGTATTGATCTAAAGTGACTCTATAGCATCAAGCTTATTGAGACAGACTGCCTGTACCTCCCTCAAGAAATCATTGCTGAACTCCACATTTTCTCAGTAAATAAAATAAGAGCCAAACTACAACATGTGGAGGCTGAAGTATCCATTAAAGACTTTTGGCAAGAGTACCTTAAAGATATTTCAAAAATAATTGTACTTTATCACTTATTCTATGCCATTGCATATAACAACTGTTTTAAAAAGACCAAATACAGCTCTCTGATTTCCATTTAATGGAAGAAGTAATAAAGTTTAATTGTATACTCGAGTGTGGGGTGTCATTTCCAGTACATCTGATCAATAATTCATCGATTGCCTTTGGCTCAAAGTAATATTTGAAAGAAAATGTAGCCAAGGGGAGCTTATGTAGCTGTAGCTTCCTCATCCCTATTAATTATGCTTTTTCTGCATTTGGCTCATTAGGCTACCAAAGTGACAGCAGATGGCGAGCAAACTGGACAGGATGCTGAAAGGACAAACACAAGAGCAAAGTCTTTAGGAGAATTCATTAAGGATCTTGTCCAGAATGCAGAAGGTATTGAAAAATCACAGTTTAGTAATTATTTCTTCCAACAGAAAAATAGAGAAAAGAATTGCACAGAACTAGAATTTCTCCTGTGAGAGATGATATTTCTAGATTCAGGGGTTGGATTTTTTAAAAAGTATTTTGGTCAAGAAATTCAAGCATATTATCTGCTGAGAATCTACAACCTACAGTGTTGAGTTAGTCAGAACAGTCAATGAATTAGTAATTACGGGCTCCAAATAGCAGTAATTTGAAGGCATTCTTTTAGGAATGCTCCAATTCTTGAGGAATAGCTGTTATGATTAAATACCTAATGGACAACTTATGCTTTGCTATTGTTTATATTCAAAACAATTTTTAAAATTTCTTAAAATCTAATTTCATCATTCCATTTGGTACATTAAATCAGCATTTTAATTTCTCATAATGGCTTTGCTACTGGTTTTTAATGAACATCTGTTACTTGGGATTTGGATGCGCTACCTTACCAGAAGCTGTACCGCATTTAGTCCACAATTCTCCAGGAGTTAATTCTTGGCATCTACCAGTCTGATTTTCAAAAACAGTTGCAGCAGTACATCAACAGGGAACTGCCAGGAACTCAAGCTGGATTCAGAAGAGGACATGGAACAAGGGATATCATTGCTGATGTCAGATGGATCCTGGCTGAAAGTAGAGAATACCAGAAAGATGTTTACCTGCGTTTTATTGACTATGCTAAGGCATTTGACTGTGTTGATCACAAAAAATTATGGATAACATTGCTAAGAATAGGAATTCCATAACACTTAGTTGTGCTCATGAGGAACCTGTACATAGATCAAAAGGCAGTTGTTTGGACAGAACAAGGGGATAGATACTGCATGGTTTAAAGTCAGGAAAAGTGTGCATCAGGGTTATATCCTTTCATCATACTTATTCAATCTGTATGCTGAGCAAATAATCTGAGAAGCTGGACTATATGAAGAAGAACATGGCATCAGGATTGGAGGAAGACTCATTAACAACCTGCATCATGCAGATGTCACACCTTGCTTGCTGAAAGTGGAGAGGACTTGAAGTACTTACTGATGAAGATCAAGGACTACAGCCTCCAGTGTGGATTGCACCACAACATAAAGAAAACAGAAATCCTCAAAACTGGAACAATAGGCAACATCGTGATAAATGGAACAAATATTGAAGTTGTCGAGGATTTCATTTTACTTGGATCCACAATCAACAACCATGGAAGCAGCAGTCAAGAAATCAAATGATGTATTGCATTGAGATAGCACAGGATTGTTCAGTGTTTCGTTCCATTGTACAAAGGGTCGATATTAGCCGGAACCAACTCGACAACACCTAACAACAACAACAACACCCCGTCTGATTAAGAATCAAAGTGGAAGCCATTCTTGGATGAAAGCCCAGATTAAGAAACTCTTAAAGAAAACATACAATGCCTAAAAAATTTTTTTTTCTTAAATATCTACTAATATTAGTAAGGAAAATTTAATATATATTAAGCATGCATGCATGTTTAGAAAGTAGGAAAAACTATTCACAATTTTATTTCCCAACAATGTTATGCTTTTTAGATTCTTGGTTTTGTAATATAGCCAAATGAATCAGGACTAGAGATAACCTTCAAGGCAGAGCCCAACCAATAATTCTTAGGAATCACTGGCCAAGAAGAGACAGAAGCTCCTAAAGGTTCCCCAATGCAAGAAACCATGAGTTTTGATTTGAGGCTTAACCTGAGGCAGGACCTCTCAGGATCTGAAACACAAGTTAGCCCACCAGAAAAATCCCAGTTAACTTGTTGTGGCTTATCCTCTGCTAGATGCAGAGGATGTTGTGCTTTCCCTGATTTTATTTTCTATTAATACTACTTGAAAGTGCCAACAACAAAACAATAAACTCCCATTGCAGTTAGGGCAGTTTAGCTCTATCTGGAAGCACTGGTCAATACTCCAGTAACTTCCCTTTTCCTTACACCTCAAATCTCAAACACTGAACACTCAGCAACCTATCCTGGGGACTTATTTTTAAATTGTTGTAAACAAATATTGTTTTAATAGACCCCAGTAACAAGACTGCTTACTCCCTTCTCTACATTGAGCCCTCCACCTCCCACCACAGACCCATGTTCATGGCCATCATTTTGGAACCTGAGTTTTCTTTTTACCATGTCAGTAAGATTTTCTTTCTTGGTACCTTAAGACTCTGGGTAGGGTCATGCAGTTTGTACACCACACAAAGATACTGGCAGAGGGTGCAGAGTGGTGATGATAATAAACCCAGCCTTTGCTCACTGTGGTGGTTAGGGTTGCATGTCAACTTGGCTGGCCATGATTTTCAGTGGTTTGACAGTTATGTAATGATGTAGTTTGGAATAGTCATCGTCCATGATGTGATGTGATGTAATCAGGCAATCAGTTGTAAGGGGAGTTTTTTTGGAAATCTGGCCTACATCCACTATATATATGAACCTTCTGGCAAAGCTGACTTACTTGCTCTGCATCCTGCATCCTGCTTGTCATCATCTGACCTCTGATTCCTGGGACTTGAGCCAACTGCCTGCCATATTGCCTGCCGATCTTGGTATTCATCAACCTCTGCAGCCTGTGAGCCAGCAGCCTGCCTTCTGACCTGCCTGTCTTGTGTTCGTCAACCCCTGCAGCTATGTGAGTCAGAAGAAGCCTCCAGCCTGATACCTGATCCACGGATTTGGGATTTGCCAGACTCTAGAACTGTGTGAGCTATTACTTTGAGATAAATCAATCTCTCTCTCCCTTTCTCTCTCTCTCTCTGTATATACACAAACACACACACATACTTCCTTGGTATTGCTTCTCTAGAGAACCCAGCCTAAGATACTCACCAACCACAACTCCTGGCCTATCCACCTGGAGAAAGGGCCTACCTACTACAAAGGATGTAGCCCATTCCCTAATTGTGCATCAGCATCCGGGCAGCTGGTTGAGTTTGCCAAGATAGGTATCCTTCTTCTAATTCACAAAGTGCCATGTGGGACATCCATGATCCTGTACCTGAGGAAAATGGAAAGACTACTCACTTCTGTCACCAAGCACCAATATAAATGATGACAAAGGTGATAACCATGACCCTTTACAAAAGAACTTAAGCAGAATTAATCCAACTGTTAAAATCTAATGAAAGTTCAAGTTTGAACATGCCAGAACTAAACTAAATTCTTCATGAGATGTGTATATGTACTACAAGGTTTGACGCTTTAAGACATAAAAAAGATAGAAAGAGAAAGAGAGACCTCATCAGAGACTTCAAGTAGGCTATACAACATAGTCACACTTTTATTTCTCTCAAAACTACAGTAATGGGGGATAATCATCAGTACTTTTAGGTTTTATTAGTGGCAACAAACTACTGTGGGAAGAGTGAATGCTTCAGCCTGGCATTTGTCTATCTCAGTTTTATTTTTAGATAGATGGAATACTTTACTCATCCTATCTTCCATTATAAGTCATGGCCTCTTTATAGATAATCAACATCTATTAATCTATGGCGTTCTTATCTCACTATAATTTTGTAACATCTACTGTGCTGTGGCTCCTGATTAGCTCATGAATAAGCTATGTTTTATTCTATGCATTATTAGAATTAATGAGTGGATATATGTAAATCCATTAGTGTGTGTCCTGACATATAATAGGACTTAATAAATGCTAGACACCATTTTCTTCCTGTGTCTCATGCCAGAGTAGTATTTGCTCTTTCTAATAAATTTACTCATCAGAGAATTTTTTTTTTTCAGGTTTAGTATGAAAAACAGTTTTGCTTCTCTTAAGAAATTAATTTATTTTTATTTTATGGGCACTGCATATCTCTTAAGTACCCCTTTTACCCCCCAGTACTCGTTGGCTGTAGTCCCTTGGTGGTGCAAACAGTTAATGCTCAGCTGCTAACCAAAGGTTGGAGGTTCCAGTTCACCCAGAGACACCTTGAAAGAAAAGCCTGGTGATCTACTTCTGAAAAATCAGACATTAAAAATCCTATGCAGGTAAAATTCATGGTAACCACAAAGAAAGTTAACAAAC